TGCAAGGAGTTGCCCTCATCAGCTGGAAGCATTGGGCCAATGACTTCTTCTTCATCCGAGCTCTCATCTTCGGAGACTTCATCTCCTTCAGGGTCCACGTCCCCGTCATCTTCAGCTGTTGTTTTCCTGAATCCTGGAGGGAGTGCAGGGCCTATTGTGCACGGTTTGTCCGATGGGCGTTTGGAGGTGGCAAACCCGGGTGGCAAGGCGGGTCCGTAGGTGCTGTCCTCGGGATCACTATCCTCCTGATCATGACTGTCCTCAGGGGCAAGTTTCTCACCTTTATCACTTGTGTTGAGTCGAGGAGGCATGACTGGCCCGATTGGGCAGATGCTAGGACTAGACGATCCATCCGTTCTCCCTGCATCTGTTCTCGTATCTGGTGAGAGTGACGGACCAACTATTTCGCACTGTTCATCTGGTCTTGCTGACAGAGACGATACACCTTCTGGACTCAGGGATCTCGAGAGATGGGGAGGCAAAACAGGCCTAAAGGTAACGCGACCTTCCATCCTGCTTTCCTCTGGACCAGAGGCTCTGTCACCTTTGCTGGCTGCCCTCATGTGCGGAGGCAGTGCAGGGCCTATATCACAGTCCGAAGAATCAGACATTGCTGAACCTGCCCCTGATAGTGAAATTAATGAAAAGATAGTACATCAGTTAAAACAAATGTTCCTGACTGAAACCACTAACACCAGCATTACATGTTCATTTTGTACATGTATATCCTTATGGTGCCCACTGCCCTAAATGTACATGTACAATGTACATGTACTTAGGACAGACCCAACCATGTCAGCAGAGTTGGTCATGTCCAACTTTACACTGTAAATGTGTATACGAGGCAAATCTCTCTCGTCAAAATTATCCAGTCCCCCCTCCTAAATCAGGATTTCATTATCTATAACAGCTGCAGGGAGGATGACATTATTGGCTCAATCAATCTCCGAACACTAGCCTGCAGACAGCAAGTCCACCCATCTTTTTTATTACATTTCTCTGCCAGATTCACCACTGAAATTATTGTTGGTCACACATTAGAGCTACATTTGAAGCCCTCCTATGCAAAGTTACATGTACATGTACCTTGTCAGTCAAATGACCCGTGTGTGTCTATGTACTGTGGCCAATCCAGTGGAAGGAATTTTTGACTGTCTGTGACTGTTGCAGCAAAAAGAGCGCTCTACAGGTAGCTACTGTACATGTAGTTCCATGGGTTTACAGGGAACTTCACAGAATCAGGATTTACATGAACTAACTGACTAATATCAGGCACTTGTTCACTACATGTACATTTATACGTAATTTAAGCAAATACAACTGGAAAATGTGGTTTCAAAACTTCACAAAATTACATTCAACATTAGTGATTAACTGAATGAATTAAAGTCAAAATGTGCTAAGAAAACTATAAGAATATCCCAACATGTGCATGTACATGTAAGCCTACTGTAGACTACGTGTTTATATATGTACAATGTTGCTCCATCACATCCATGGTCAAAGTCAAAAGTAAAACAGACGAGTCCAGCAGCCCAGTGACTCGGCATACAATGTACATGTATGGCATCAATTTGCCATTTCATGAGCATTACCAGTCCTTGCCCACATCATCAGACTGTCACAATATCAGGGCACAGGCCTAGAGCTTGGACAACTTGACCGTTTGCCAACTTGACTCGGTACATGTCAACAAAGAAGAATTTTCTTGTTTTAAATGAGAAAAATCGCACAATGGAGGCTTGTTTCAAGCAGATTGAAATGAAAAGCAACAGAATGATGCATCCTATGATTCAAAAAGTAGTCATTAAAAAACTTAACAGGAATAGAAACTTTCAAGAAGGCAAAAAGTACTTTTCTTCTCTTCAATCTTGCTTAATCATGTCTAGAGATAATCCTAGAAGTGAGATGCTGTTAAAGTGATTGTTATGTACAATTGAGTGCATTTTTGCAACTGATTTTGTATGTAAATGGTTTGTCGGTGCGACCAAATATCCAGATATTCGATCGTATTGAAGGTCGAATATTTGAATAGTGAATTATTCGAATTGAAACAGCCCTACCCTTTATGTGCCATTGGTCCTGCTTGTAATTCTAGAACCGTGGATCTTTTTTAAACGGCAGACTAAGGAGTTATCTTCTGCTGAATCCAATTAAGGCATTGAAAGATCCCCAGAGCAATGGAAGGATTAAGCCGCCTTGAAAAAAATGTACCCCATTTAGAGGTACATGTACATTCTCTCTTTCCGGGGACTGATTTTGTCCTTGAATAAAGGGACTTCTCCAATACAAGGACTGTCTCCGAGTTCTGATGTGCACCTACCTCAGAGCTGTAACTTGTAAGGTCCGACATCCACCCGCGATGTGGGAGCGGGACAGACGTCGGACCTCACAGGGTTGATGTTGTGAAAAGACTAAAGAGGGCAGGGTTTTGAGTTTTAAGAAGAATTATACCTGAAAAGTGTGTTTTAACACATGACACATACATGTAAATGTGTCATTTAAATGACACATTTGACACAAATGACACATCGGTTTCATAAATGTTGTGGATTCAAATTTCCATGGCTGGTTCAACAGTGAGAAAGTCACATATTCTCACAATTTATGATTCCAAATTTCAGAAAAATAGGTCAGCGCAATAAACAGAGGGGGGCTAACCAGTTTTACAAGATTAAAGCATGGAGGAATAAAGCATGATTAAAGTGACAAAAAACTGGGGGAGATATACATATGTACAATACCCGCACAATGGAAGGATTACAAAAAACGCCGGGCCCGGCCCAAGCTAATAATAGCGTTATGACTCTTGTGTCCGGAATCTAGACCAACACAAAACTTCAAAATCATCATGAAGAAGCATCCCATTAATGAGTATTTTAATTTTTTTACGCTGAAAAAGACTTCAGATTTTCTGTGAGATATGAACTTATGCTTCATACTTTCCAAAACCAAGAAAACAGGGTTGGCGTTCTAACACATCTTCAAGTTCATCAGCTTCCCCCGCGTGCTCCCATACTTGCCAGTACCAAGATGAATCGTAGCTAGCTCACCATTGGTCAGATAAGACGTGTTGGATGAAAGAGTCGCAGCAATTGGATAAAGCGGGACCGCCACTCGTATTGTTTGTTTGTTATTTCATTACTCCATGTCATGTGGCGAGCACGTCGACCCAGCAAACCACATGAATGAATGTAGGCTTGCCAAGTGAAAATAGTTTTGTGGGCTTTCTTGTCGTCTTTTTGTCCGGGTTTCCCCATGCCTAAGAACAAGGGTGGTGGTGGGGGATCAGGAGGGGCCAAAGGCGGCGGAGGTGGTGCCAAAGGGAAAGGGGGCAAAGGGAAACCAGGCGGTGCTGCAGCAGCCGGTAAGATTAAGAATGGTTGGACCAATGTAGGCTTACATACATCATGACATAGTACTTATTTAAGTTATTACATGTAGACATGTAGGTCCGACCATTATCCCCGGCCCTGGGCGCATCGCAGGATTGAAGAAGTAGTCCTGCGGTTGTTGATCTTGTCTTGGCATGCTTGGCCCGGCCTCTTTAAAGAGGCTTGTTTTCCTGCATTGAGTTTGTCCATCCCAACTTTGGTTATCCATCAAAAGCGAATATCAAAAGAGCGCTTTAAAATAACCGTGAATAAAAATTAAAATTGTGAGATCTTGGCTCATTAGTTGGCTGTAAAAATAATTTATCAGTAGGGCCTACTGCTCTTAAGTACTACTGCTAGTAGTACTAATGTTTAGTACTTGACCTAGTAAAGTAAGGATTAGATTTGTATTATCAGTCATGGTGAAGGCCATAGGACCCTGCTTTTATCACATCTGATGAGTCTACATCATGTTATGTACATGGTGTTGCAGTATAGTTGCATGTGCATGTCTTCTAAGTTCTACTGCCAGAAGTCATATATTATGTCACATTTTATGGCAATATGTCACCCCAAAATGATTCCTTAAGGAAGACTTCCCTAAGCAGAGCTGCAGAAATAATTCTGGTCTCACAAAAACCTTGTTGGGGGATTGTTTATTTTGGGAACCCCCCAATTTTTGCCATTTTAATCTTGTAAAAGTGGTTGTTCCCACCACCTCCCCAAAAAAAACAGCCCAAAGGTAACACTCTCTTTATTGTGCTGAGCCCTAGTTTTTGGAAATTTTAAATTGTAAATTGTGAGAAAATGTGGCTTTCTGGCTGATAAACCAACCATGCAAACTTGAACCCACCGTGTTCCATGTTGTGTGAAACACACTTTCCCCTCATATCATTTCCCCAAAAATTCAAAACCCCGCCCTCTTTTCACAACATCAACCCTACAGTAATTGAGCATGATGTCAAGTCGTACTCGTCATCTACCAAGGTGAATCCAAAAGTGAATGTAGATTTCCCTTCTATTATCTATTATCCCTTTGATTATACATGTACCGGTTCATATAGGACCAGGGTCCCCAAATATACAATTTTCTTGTAAGAAGTTGGAAAAAGGCTGAAACAGAAATGTACGGGTGTCCTGAAAGAAGGGGCTCGAGCTGACTCAATGGCTATTTCATCCGTGTACATGTACTTCCCAGGCAGAAGTGTTGGTTTCAGGAATTCTTACAGTCGACATGACATCATTGGGTCTTGTTTCTTATCTCTGATTGGTAATTGTTCCTTTTTGCCCCATCTGGACTCAGGGGCATGATTAGTGCTCTAGTCAATGGGAAATTAATCTCAGTTATTACCCTTATATTACACCTTGTCGTAAAAAACCTTAAAAATTCACGATTTTATGCAGTAAAATATTACCGGCATACCCAAAAACTTGCACTGGAGTTATTTTTAGATTGCCTTAGAAATGAACGAAACAAGTACATGTACATGTAACTCCTTGTGCCAAAAAATGGATCATTGCCCCTTTGCCTAGATGCATACGCAGTACATGTAGGTTGAACAGCCTCCAACCGATAGAATGTTTGAGCAGTACCTGTAACGATAACAATGCAGTTCCCCGGTGCACCAGTAGCACTTCGGATGTGTGTGCAACCGTACATGCCGATGATGTACATGTACATTATTAATGTCGATATGCACCTGTCTATTTCCAGATGACGATGGAGGGGGAAAGCAAAAGAAGGGAGGGACAGCAGTCAAGGTAAGAGCCAAGTTCAGGTCTGAAGAACCCAGCAAATCTTAAGAGGCTGTAAATTTTGAATTTAATCACTGTACGGGGACCATAGGTTGTTAATTAAGGAAGCAAGGGGATGTTCCCACTTCCTCTCAACACCTGTCATAAAATTGTCCCATGAAGAAAATAAATGGACTTACAGTGCAGCTCCAGCAAAGAGTATCTTCTTTGATTTTTCTGGTGCATGATGAAATTGACTGGATTTACTGGAGAAATTGGCAACTGACTTGTTAAAATCCCAATCCATGTAAGTTCTATGAAATTTACACATTGACCCAGCATGTACATGTATAAATTTGCATGGTGTACAAATGCCTTCAAGAGCACTGATACAATGTTCAAGGGATTTGGGGGGATTTCTTACCTTTCCACCTGCGTCAGTCCTCTATCCTCTAAGTTTACAGGTGGACCCCAGTATGATTTTTTTGACTCACCTAGAAGGGTAGGGTTATAAGAAGCTTGGTTAAAACTTCATTCTTATGTTTTCATAATCTTCTGCCATTGAAAGATGTAGAAATATGAAAATTAAGATCAGTAATGCTTGAACCATCTGTCTCATCCTTAACCTCCTCATGTGTGACATGCATACACCTACATGTATTGAATGGGGGAAGCATATACATTTAGTTCTCATGTTTACAGAAGAGACTGTTTGGTGATTTTTACTTCAAGGTGAGGCACATTCTTTGTGAGAAGCACTCTAAATGCATGGAGGCAATGGAGAAACTGCAGTCTGGTGTGCGGTTCAATGTGGTGGCAGAACAGTACAGTGAAGACAAGGCAAGACAAGGGGTGAGTCGGCATAGTTGTCCTTGGTTGTCTGACCACCATAGAACGTACAGGCCCTGTGATGTACATGTAAATGGACCGGTATGTTGGACACATTTGGCCGACCTACCCTAGCCTAGGGCTCTATACGATTGGTCGATTCTGCATGAAATCTTCAAATTTATTTTTCTTGGTTGAAATGATCTTTCGCAATCATGATTTTGAAAGAAAAGGAAATTAGCTGATGGTTGAATTACCAACAAATCATGCTGTAACTCAGATCAACTGATCACGCTAAGATCGAGTGATCAAGTGTTTCTTAAATGTACATGTACATGCAAAGATCACCCTCAGGATTTGTTTCCATCAGAAGGGGAACAGACTAACATGAATTCATAGAGACACCGTTGGCTCTGTTTTGAGTTGCTCCCATTTGGGTACACGCTCTATTTCCAGCGGGACCTGTTTTCCTGATGAGAATACACAATGCTCTTGTTTGAACGTTCCATAGGCTCTTCATTAGTAGAACCAGGGCCATTGCCCTCTCCCCTTAATAAAGGGGTATTATGATTTTTTTTTTTTTTAAATAACCAGAGAACAATTTTGTGGACCATTTCATATGATCAGAATCAGAATTTTCAGAAATTGACTGCATGAACTCAATTGCTTCAAGTCTGGCTTTAAAGTACTTCAAGTCAGATGATTCCTTAATATCTGCTGGGATTAGGTTTCATTCCAGTTTTTGGTAGAAATAAGTATATTGGTGGAGCGAGAACCTGTAATAATTCTTGTTGAAAGTGATTCTTGTGGTCTTTTGCTTCTTTTGCAACTTTAAGTTGGTCAATGTAAGATGGGATGAGATGATTTACACCTTCATTGTAGCTCCTTGAATATGATGGTTAGATGTGATTTCAAGTGTCCGACATCAAGTCTTTCCCACTGAGGTTGATGAAGAAGCTTGATAACACTGAATTCACATCTTTACTCTTTTTTGACAAAGCGTGCTGCTCCGCATGGGACTTTCTCAACTTCTTCTGTTAACAGTCTGTGTATGTGGGTCCCACATACTGCTGCAGTAATGTAATTTGGGTCCAACTAGTCTTTTTGTAGGCAGTGGATTTGGTCTTTTCATTGCAAGATCTCAAGTTTCTTCTCAGGAGACCAAGGATCTTATTTGCTCCAGATAATATTGATGGATTTGTTTGGACCATGCAAAGTCTGTATTCAACTCCAAGATATGTGTTTCCTTCCAAAAATTGCATAAAAGCCCCAAGGATTTAGCCTCCTCCCTCCTCAGAGCCATAAAGATTCCATAAGAAAATAATTCCTCCTGAAAAAATATTGTCCCGCCCCCTGAAACGAAGTTCTAGTTCCACCCCTTAGAGCTGTCTCAGACACAGCAGGCATGGATGAACAGAAAGTTCACTTCATCCTCATCAAAACCTTTATCTTGCTGATTTCAGATTGGCCGTCCAGAATTCCAGTACATGTACAGTGTATACAAAGTTAAAAAGAAATTGGACCAATACACTTTTATGTTTTTATTCTCACTGTGATTATCTTAATGAAAACTCCATTATTTGGAACTAGTTTTTGAAACCACTAATACCTAAACGGAAATTTAACAATGGACAAGTTTTGCTTGGAATAACTTTTGTGCGGTACATGTAAATGTACAAGTAATTTGTCATTGCCCACAGTGCCCAAGATGGTTCCAGTTCCTCAATGTTTGTGCTGCATAACCTGTGACCTTTGAAAACACAGTAGGCAGAGTTGGCAAAAGTGCATTAGCAGATTTACTAGGGCAGAACTTTTTTTTGCACGCACATGTACAAATACGTTACAGTAACCATTCTGCAATGTTTTCAGCATTTTCATGCTTGGCCCGAGTGTGTAAATTTACTCTCTTTTTTTTTGGTAAGCATGATTCCCGGGTTTCATCTGGCTCCAGATCATTGAAGCTTCACAAGGAAACTACTTACAATGACCAGGTTTTCAGTGAAGACAAGTGCCAAATTCATTGGTTTTTCTTGCCATTCCTTTGCCAGGGGGACCTCGGTTGGATGACCAGGGGCTCAATGGTCGGACCATTTCAGGATGCGGCATTCGCTCTAGCCACTAGCACAACGGATAAACCTATTTACACAAATCCTCCTGTCAAGACGAAATTTGGTTATCACATCATCATGATTGAGGGAAAGAAATGACAGAAACAAGTAATAATTTCAAATGTGTATTTTAACTCCATTGCCTTAATTTCCATCATTGGTCGTGCATATACCTGTATGTGTACATGTATATATTCACAAAACTGATTTCAGACATCATATTCACATTATATACATGTATACTATTTCTTTTAATGCTTGCAAATTTTATAATATTTGTAAACCGTGCACCATGGAAGCCTACAAGACAATGTCTTATGTTCAGTGGCCATCAGGCTGAGGAAACATTGACATTTGATAAAACGGTACAGTTTTCCGCATGAATTCGTGTATACATGTAAGTTACAGTTCCACAAGTGGGATTTTTTGTTATCACCGCTAGAAACGCGTAGAGTTCCCTCATCAAACATCCATAAGAACACAACTACATGTAATAAACAATCAAAGGTGGCTGTCGTATGAATTGCCACCATAAAATATGCAGTTATTCTAATCAACAGTGCAATTTACCAATACTGTACTACCAATATGATGTGCATGTTTGTGTAATAATACATGTATATGCGTGGCCAGGTCGACATCCGACCCCAACTTTGTTTCACTGCACGTATATGTAGGCCTACATGTACATTTTAATTTAACTCTTTAAATAGAGTCCTTAAACTAAAGCACAGTGAATGACACTTTAATAATGGACACCTGAAGAAGAATGTCAGTGCATTTCGTGCGGGTTTATACATCGTACATAGTGGTCGACTTTCAGCACGGACAGTGGCGGGAAATAAATTCGGAATGGAGTGCTTTTAGATTCTGTGCGCCTAGAAATTCATTTACTGCATTATTAAAAATGACCATAACTTCAGTCAAGTGTACTAAATAAGGTTCTCTTTTTAATAAAAGTGCAGTTAATGACAAAAATTAAATGGGCGTGGCCTGTTCTTTGAGCCAAGTTTTTCTCTTCACTTCAAACGGTTTCGTTGTTTTCATTCCTAAAGTTTTTTCCCCGCATTCTTTTTGTTTTGGGGCGGAGTCCTCCACATGTTTTGGCTGAAATATTTTTTGGTCAGGTGTGGTTCCTTATTTTCGTGAAGGTAATACATGTACACGTATTTTTACTGACCATTTACTTACTTTGTATTTAGTTTGCCTGATGTCTATTTTCTTAGACAAATGTGTCACATTGATGAAAATCTAGGCGGTGGGGAGGCATTCATTGGCCATTTAGGCTCTTTGAACATGGCTGCCTTAATCGTCTCTGACTTTTTGAAATAGATTTTTAATGTACGTTGAGTCACATGGTAATTATTCTACCATTTGCCAGCAGAATTCAATTGCTCACTCATGCGTTCATTCAAAATACTATTATTAACTTTTTTGATACTCACTTTATAAACAATTGTCAAGAAACTTGGCTGACATGTACATGTACCAAACAATAGAATTCATTATTGGACTACAGAGGATATGTGTGTGTTTTGATTCACATAGTTCCCTTTTTGACCCTTATCCATGCAAATGGGTAAAATCATATCAAAAGCGGGTTACAGTGTTTCCGATGTTAATCAGATTAAAACACGACTGGAAAAGGGTAAATCAGCAACATACCTTGATTAGACATAATTATAATTTGTAGATTGGCAGATTCTCATTGAACCTCCTAAAGCAACCTTGAAGCATAGTTATAGTTCGTCGAAGTAAAGATTTTGATTTTAAAGGTTGTTCTATATGCCTAAATCCTCACCTAAAACAGCTAGAAATCATAATAAACAACAACAATTTTCTTAAGCTGAGCTCTTTTCATTTTTTGTCAAATTTCCGTGGCAACGTATTGCCACGGAAACATAAATATGTGTACATAAATATCAGCTATTAAGGTCAGATATTCTCCCCTTGCTCTCTCGGCACAGCCCACAGAGGGCGCTAAATTGTGACTTTGTCCGCGCTTACTCCCTTTCGTATCTGTAGGATGATCAATAAAAACTGGAGAGTCTCCTGCAACTGTCAAGTAGGCCTATGACGAAGGATCTTACTCACGGGTCTGTTAGTCATGGACTATTTATGGTATAATTTTCTTAAAAAGTGTGCTTTTCGATCAAACTTTACAGGATTTTCTTTTCCCAAAACCATGTATGCAGCGTGTCGCCTAATAACAAGTGCAACGCAAAAGTAAAAACAATTTTCTTTTAAAGCAATTGTCTGAAGTTTCTGTTTTGAAGTGTTCTGTTTTGTATTAAATTTAAATGTTATCATTTCGAAACTGAAAAATTCATTCACATCCAATAATGCGCTGTGAAGATAATTTCAATCACAAAAGACTGCTCTTTCGTTAAGATACTGCATCGAACAGGGTTCTGTTCTTTGATGTTAAAACGTACACTATTTTCCACCAACAAAACAGCATTCTTAAATAGTTCAAAGTGGTTAACTTTACAGAACTAACCAAGATCAGCACCTTGATAAAATTAACTGAAGTAAATTGCACAAGTGCAACTAAGGTTTTCTCTGTAAAAAAAAAGAAAAAACACTAGTTGCACAATTAAACGACCATTGACTTCTGAAGTACAGGCATCAGTTTCATCAAGTTTGGAACTAGTCATTCAAAATGAGTAGAGAGTCCAAACAGCTTAAATACACTGGAGGACTTCATTTCAGTGATGCGTACACTTGCAAGATAAACTGCTTAAACTTCCATTGGTCAGAAGTAAATTAGTTGTGTTATGTACTTGAACATATCTCCGCAAGTCAGCATAATCTTCAAATGAAATTGTAAGAGTAAGTGGAAAACGCTATGGGTTTTATTTGATTCCAACTCACAGATTTCTGACTATTACCTGGGGTCAAAATGAATGCTACATGTACGTTTGAGTTGCGGGAGGGAGGATTGGAGGGGGCGAAAGTTTATTTTTGAGCAATAAAAAGGAACATGAAAAAGAACACCCTATTCTTCATTATTTCTGCACTACATGTATAGGTTTACTGAAAAAGGTCACGTTCGCGCTAACAAGCCCCCCTCCCCCGCCGATCGCCCCCCCCTCACTCCTTCCAATCGGGTTCCACGTCGTCTTGGATACGGTACTGGATGCGGCCGGTCGAGGTCTGCTCGTACATGTGGGTGTAGCGTACTTCATGCAACCCAGGGTCGTTCATGATGTTCGACTGCTCCGAGATGGGCTGTATGATCTGCTCGAAGTTCTCGCGGCCGGTCAGCCAGTACGTTGTCATAACTCCTTTGCCCTGCGATGTAAACAGACGTACAGGGTGCAGGTCAGGGGCGGATCTAGGATTTTCCCAAGGGGGGGGGTCATGATCCTGGATTTTCCAAAGGGGGGGGGGTGAACGAAAGCAGCAATGATAAAATGCCTGCGAGCGCGTAGCGCGAAGCCCTTACGTCGTGGGGCCGGGGCATTCGTCTCTTGTGCAATTTCACGCAGTATGACCCCTTTATTCTTCTCCATCCATCCTTTTTTATTATTTTGGGGGGAGGGAGAAAAAAGGGGGCGCACCCCCAGCCCCCCCCCGATCAACCCCTTGGATTGCTTTGAAATTTGCGCCTCCCGCTGAAATCAAAAAAAAGTACTGTTCAATATCTATGTAGAGTTGCCCAAGAAGGATTTGGTATGTACAAAAATGCAGTCAGGTGAGATTTGGGACGAAAAAGGGTGAGTTTCTTTGAATCCACCAGAGCGTGCGAGAACGCAACATATCCATGGCGCATCTGGCATACAGATTGTTGACTACGTTTATAACTGAACGTTACGCTTGAAAACACAGCTTGGCTCGGGAGAAATGTGTGTTGTTTGTTTGTTTGCTGTTTTTGTAAGTCTCCACACGCCTTGGGTTCCAACTGAAAAGTAAAGCAAAGTTTAATTCTAATCAAAAGACTTGTATTCAACTGGTTTGTTATCTTGATCGTTGGCACGTCAGGTTTCCATTCTGGATTGAGCAACTTTCTCCACTGTCCATGAATGAAAGCTGAAACTTTTTTCTGAGCACTTTAACTGGTTTATTGGAACGATAATCGCAATTAAAACTCGATTTACAGAAAGGCTTGAGCCGTAGAAATGATGCGTGGCGACGGTGATAGTTAAAGGGAATATCGGAATCTGCCTTTTCTGGTCACGAGTTACTAGCTTGCTGTAGAAAAACGAAATCTTCCGATAATATCACTGGGATTTTTGTGGGAGGTATGTGTGTTGGGCAGAGCGCACCTGTTAACGCCCGATCTCCACTCGTACTCTCGTAAATCTGTCATCTGCACTCACCTTAATCTCAATCTCTCCGCGTCGAATCAGCATGAATCCGCCGATATCTTGCAAGGCCAGGTAGGTTTCACTAGTCACGTGAATGCGTCCGGCTGACAGGAAAGGTATGGCAGAAGAAATCATGTCATTTGACGCGTGGGATTGGAGTTTCAGTTTGAGAAAATTGTACCAACAAGTGTGCAACTGTGCTTCTGTGACTATCGATATGCTCCTTCATGTTGGCACAACACTCTCAAACCGCTTCCATTAATCTCGAAGAGAGGGAAGTGAAAAATTTAAAGGAGCATTTAAGAAAATTGAAGTGCTCATTCCCCTGATAGCTAAATTCATTGCAACTTTACAAAATGTAATGACATTTTCTTTGATTCACAGTGCAATCAGAATGCTGCAATAAAAGTCCATTTTAAGGGCTGCATGATATTGAAATCGTAAATATGCCGGCAGTAAGTCGGCAAACCATCAATTGTTTTTCTTTTTTCTACTTCATGTAAATCCTCCTTCATGTCAAACAACTGTGTTAGCACTAAAGACGTACGTAGCCCTGATGTCTGCATCCGAGAAGCAGTATTGACCGTATCTCCAAAAAGACAGTAACGAGGCATCTTGATCCCAACCACGCCCGCAACCACTGGACCTGTATATAGATTCAGATTAAATTGGATTGTCAGTCGATTATTCGATTTCCAAGCGTTAGGGTTCTGAGGTGAGTGCGAGCTATCCGTGGGACCTGTAGAAGCTGTGCCTATATTTATATAGATGTTCTTTACGAGGAACGACTCTGTATAGGTGACATTTCAATCAAGCGAATATTACAAAAAATAGCCAGTATTTCCTCAAGGAGAGAGTGAATTTGATGGCTAATCGAGTATAACAAAACCAGACATGGTTTGCCATACTGTATGTGTTGAGATAACATAGGCTGGCCCTGCATGAGACCATGCAGTCATAAAGTCCGTACCTGTTGTTGGGGCCCACATCAAAATCAAGTCGTTTTATGTTCAATAAACTCAGTATGACAGACAGCAAGCCGTATACAAGGAAAATTACAAGCTCGGGCCTAAAAGACTTTTATTATTTTTTTTATTATATTTGATGGACACTGAATCAAGGACACAACATACGAACCAGACACGACTTAGGCCTAATGGTTCTGAGACAATTGTTATGCCGTCCCTGAGTCAATGCCTGTTCAGGAAGATCAACAGCAACCTGTACCTGGATAATTGCAACCTCGGGCCTGAAAGAAACAGTGCAAATGCAACTTACGTCCACCTCTGATGAATAACTACATATACAGGGTACTTGAACAAAGATGTACTGTGTTTTGCGCTGTTCGTTAATGGTGGAAACAGCCTTAAACAATTTCGGTGGATGCATCCCGTCAGATACACACACGAAAAGACTTTAACAGTTGTCTTTTCCACTAAAATATTGTGATTTTTCCATAAAAGTGGAGAACGTCCAAAAACTTTAGTGTCACCGTTGGTTCGAACAGATTCACTGGCAAACATTGAGGCACTTTACCATGGATGCTAATGCGTCCTTAGTAAATTTCAATTGAAAAGGGGGGGGGAATTCCTTTGTCTGCCCATTTTGTCAAAACAAGTCGACATTGCGCTCGTCATTTCTAGAATCTAGGTTAGTTTAATAGTTTGGCACTTCTCTGATTGTGACAAAACGATTTTAACTCAAAGGTGTGATATTACATTGGAAAACTGCAGTTCATAGCTGACACAGTGCGGTGTTTGATGGGGACTTAACCAATTTAAGATGCCGTTTTACACTCAGGTGTATTGAAGCAACTTCTCGAATTCTTAAATCAAATAGGTTTTAATGGTTAATTTAAATCAGACTCGTTAAGGAGTTGTGAAAATGGCAAAACCGTCTCTGTTTTCTCTGTCAGTGTTGGTGTGGTTTTTATCATCGTCTTTGCCATCGTCTTTGTTGTCGTCTTTGTTGCTGTTATGGTCCCTACTGTCGGTGTTGATGTTCTTATCCTTTATGATCTGTGTTCCTTTTAACTCTGCTATTATTTAAATTCTTGGGTATGCTCAAGCTTTTTCTTGGGAAATTATAAAGTGAAATGTGGGATTTGTATTGGAAGTTCAGGCACCATTGGGGTTGAGATGAACTTTGGGGGTTTATTTTCCTTTAGTATTTTTGGTCATTGTAAATACGTCGATGTATTTTAAGAATATTCTTGGTATTTGAACTATTTTTGGTAGTATTTGATTTTTACCTATGTCGACTTGATGCAATTTTATCTTCGATTGTCACATCTTGTCTTAACAATAATCTACCTACCTACCAACCGACCGGTTTACCTGTTTTCAACTGATTTGTAACTTTTTCAAGTATTTCATGATCAAATGACAAACTTTACACTTCTGATGTAGAGTATCGGTAAGTGTTATAGGTCCACCCGTGTAATAAGCAATTTACATGTAGGTTGACAGGGGTTTGAGGTTCAGTCAAGCCACTTGTTTAAAATTTGACGCAGGAATGAAATAATTTATAAACATGATTACACTTTACTAGTGAAAAAGTCCACCTTTAAGTTTACCCCAGTAAAGTGTAAGTGCAACTACATGTATGCATTGTTTTAATCAACTTTGACTTTTCTCTATTTCATTGGGATTAGAATTGCTAGTCAATACGCAGTGAAACCAAAATCAGCAGTAAGAATTGTTTTCAGTAATGAGAGTATAATCAAGTTGAGTCATTACTCTAGTAACCACCAAGAAACTGGATCACAAACAGACCTAACATATGTAAAGCAATTCAAAAAGGGGTCTCAAGATTGTAAAAGGCTCAAGTTTACTACGTACATACCAAAACACAAAAGCTAAACAAAAACCACGGACACATTTAGGAGCAATTTGTGTGCAAAGCATCCTCTTCATTTTGGCTCACAATTTAGAAAACAATACGATTTAAGTTTTAAAGAATCTGATTAACATTAATGTTAAAAATTCAATTTTTATTGAAACATATTTAAAAAATTGCCAACCCTGCCTGCGAGAGAATGACCTCGAAAGGTTGATCGAATTTTACCCAATACGACTTTGTATCAGTTAAGCCGTCCCACGTTGGAATTTTGTGGTGTAGGCCTACATCTTACACCACTCTTTTTGCTGCGTATCGGTGAGCCTGCACTGTTAAAACAAGTGTTAACGTTTTGACGCCTTTTAAACGCCCTCCTGGCAGTGTGAATGTGTTGTGGTTTTAATCATCCAAAGCCAAACACATTGTGTTATTATTATTTTTTTAACACCACGTGTTGATGTGTTAATTTATTTAGACACAATAACAGTTTAGGGTGTTAATAACAGGACATATGTTTCTCGAGTGGTAACACTTTCGGAACACCGTCTGAACACACATATGTTTCCAAAAAGGAGTTTATTTTAATCTAAACGGTCACATCTTTGCAATGGACGCAAAGACGCGTATATAATGGGCGTTGGTTTTTATAGTGTTGAGGTTTCTCCCGAATAAAAACGTTCGTTGAAAACCCACCTCGTCAACCCCCTAGCATTACTCGATCTCGATCATCCCCAAACTGGTTCGCTCTACCCATAAGCTGGTTCTTGTGTCAGTGAACCAGTGTCGGATCGCTAATCGCAATCCGGATCCCGCACGAAACAAACCGGCTCTAGTTTTCCTCTAGTGATCCGATTTACCTGTGTGGATACCGATCCGTATCTTGATCTTCATGTTCTCTCTATGGGGAACCTCAAGGAAGCTGACTTGGTGGAGTAAGTCCAAGGCCACGGTGGCCAGCTCGGTGACGTGTTCTCCTCCTACCATTCGGCTTGGCAAACCTGTCAACAAAGAAAGCAACATATTTAAGCCCATTTGGATATGTCTTCCGACAATGCTTCTTCGATTCGGGTCTGTGGACACTGGAATAGAATTTACTGCTCTAGTTAGCTTGTCCGTAACGAATCCTATCCTTGTTTACATGAAGACTACTCGACGGGATTCGTCTGTCGAGTAGTTGAGGTAAATGGAAAGACCAGAATACAGCGAGTGCAGTACAGCCTGACGAATACGAATTGTGTTTTCGTATTCTTTGCCTCTGCATTCTCGCGCGTAGTATTTTGGGTTTACTCCTAAATATTCATCTCATCCTTTTCCAAAGAATTGTCTTAAAGGAAGTCGTTATTGCAGTGCGCGCCGGTAAATTACCTGATCGACCAGTAGCGTGCCCTGACTTTCCAGAATGCGTGCGCACGCGCGACATGTTGAAGAGCTTGCACCTGAGGGTAGTACCATCGCATGACGTCTCTTTTGATAAGTCTATTATGTTTATCATACCAGCAGCCAGCATGTAGGTCTCGTTGACAGTCTCCACCTTGTACACTTTGTAATGTTCGATGCGGGAGTCGAAGACGAGATACAGCCCATTAAGCATTTCAACAACCTGGGAGTGACATTTACAAAATAAAAATAACAGCGGGAGTTTCCAGTTCACAAATGTTTAAACACCACATGTAAGACCACTTGTCCGACTAAGTTAACGCTATCTGAGATAGGTGGGTTTATCGTTGTAGAGATATCACCACCGTCTCCACGAAGAGAGACAAGTGCCCCAAATCGTGAGTTATTTTCACATTTCTGTTTTTCTGTAGCAAAATCAGCAAGGCTAACTGCTGCCTGCAAGGTGGTGTAATCATTTTTACCAAATCTACTCCAATCAGCCAAATCACGATAATCGTAATGGGCAAAACGCAACTTACTCTACGTTTACCGTTTTCACGAAGAGAGAAAGTAGCCCTGCATAGATGGAACATTACCAAGGGCAAAACCATAGGCAAAATCCATTTTACAGACAAAAGTGATTCAGGCTATGTATAATTTGCACCTAGCACTCGCCAATACGGACCGTTTTCACGAGGACGCAAAATGCACACGAAATCCAGCATTTTCACAAACCTACAAATTTGTTTGTTTACAAAAATAAACAATTTTAGGCCTAATTGATTCCTAAATGATGTTGTGGGTTCTGTGTTATTTAAGATCTGATCCCTTCTTGAAAATGGTGACGATATCTTTGTAAAATGACATGGTAAGAATCCTTAGCGCCATATCAGACATTTACCCAGCAATATTAATAGCCTCATTGTCGTGGTTACTTTTTATGTAACCCGAAGAGAGAGGATACAAGAGAAAAAAGGTAGTAATGCAGAATTTTGGGACTTTACCATAAGGCCTCTTAATGATGTACATGTAATTGACTGAAAGTTACCTGCATAGGTGAGCTGACAGCACAGAGGTGGTTGAATCCTACGATGTCCGAGAAGAGCACCGAAGCGCTTGCGTATGACTCGGCTTTGACGTCCTTCTTGAGAACCAGTTGTTCAGCAACGGTTGGAGGCAACATGGAGTACAGTAACCAGTTGGATCGCTTCTTCTCCTTGTTCAAGGCCTTGGTCTGGGCTGCTAGAGTCAGGGCGTAGTTTTGGATATCAGAGGTCAGAGACCAGATGGCTCGGAGTGTCAGAGGGCACATGACGATGACGATGACCACCAGAAGGATGCTAACGGCGATGGCCTCCGTGTCTTGTTCCAAGTCGTTCTCCAGCAGGAGCAGGATCTCGTTGGCCATATTCTTTTGAACGTTCTCCAAGATGTTGATATAGACAGTCATGCTGTCGAACCACACTGTTGCATGCTTGAAGTTTGGCTCGATCTGGGACGCGTGGTTGACCAGTATAGTCTTCCTCATCATATCGATGGTCGCTGTGAAGTTGTCGGACATCCCGACCACGTGCTTGTCGAAGAATTTGGTGATGAGTGATGAGTATTTCTTGGACGCCTCATAGTGCCAGATGCCCAAGTTGTATTTTTCGATGTACCAGACGTAGTCTTCGTGCCTTTCGAACCCTCCAAGTGTGAAGAAAACGGAGCCGAGAGTACGCTCGATACCCGTCTCGACGTTGCTGACAATCAGCAACTGGTACGCTACCAGCACCTGCCAGAGACCATTGCCTTCCGAATTGCCGATGCTTTCATACAGCCAGTCGATAAAGATCTGGAGTATATCCGTGTAGAAGTTGACTTCGTCGTAGACGGCAGTGTCGGAGCGGGTGACAGACTTGCGGTGCTCGACCAGGTGCATCTTGAAGTCACTTTTCCGCTGGAAGAAAGGCAGCTCGTTCAGGATGCTGGTCTCCACCGGCCAGTCTTGCAGCTCGTCGATGGCTTCGTCGGTCTCTGGGTAGATTTCCGTAAGGAACTTGATATCCTGGGGGCCGATGACGCTGACGTACAGCGCCGTCATGTCGCGCTCCCTCTGCAAGCGGCTCAGCAGGACCCCAATGTCCCGGCTGAATCGGATTACGTTGCGGATCTCGATGTCCACGCCGTTGCTCTGCGCGATGGCCTGCAGATCCAAAACAGCCAGCACGGCCAGCGAGACGATTGGCACGAGGACGAGTAGGAGAATCTTGGCCAACTGAATGCGCTTCCCCTTGATTGTCAGTGGGTTCTCACGACATTTACTGACGTCGTTGGAATGGAGCAGCAGCTTGCGGACTGACTGGTCTAGCATAGACAACGAACCAAAAGATGAAATGGATGCTGTCATCTGAGGCTGATCTCTGACCATCTTGTCCAGTAATGCATTGGTGTTTTCAGTTCCTGACTCCATTTGCAATAGGATCCAGCAAAACTCTGGTTAAATCTTAAGCCAGGATCGATTCGGTGAGAACACATTCAGCCACGGGACTTTTGTCTGGAGTGACTGTGTCATCAGATGATGTCTTCCTAGCTGTTGATATCACTCGCCAATGTTATGTAACTACAAATGCGTCACTGGTCAGTTTGCACCGACTAATACTCAGTATGGGGCTTGTTTGAGGTTTCTCTTATGTCCTCATTTACGGCAGATGTAGCCTGGCGTCTGTCTCATTAAGCGAATTCATACAGCTTCTTGTTTGGAGACTGTTCACGCTGTCCCATTGCCCTGCATCCCAAGGACGTTTCAGCATAATTTGGTTTAGGGTCTGTGTCATGTAACATTCAAAGAGAGGGTAAATCCCGTCAAACAGACAGGACACTGCTTAAACCTGAGATATCTTTAAGACAAATGTGAACGTGGATAAGCCACAAGAAGACATTTTTATTTATGAGTAAATTTACGTAGTTTGCTAGTGTTAAATAACCCACAAAAAGTATACCTGAAATATGTCAAAGCAAGCCTGGAGAAAAGATACGCGATGAACTAAGTTGTCGATATTGCATTGAAGTGATTGCAAGAGGATTTTATTCTGTTTGGGGTTCTATGAAAATGACATAGAGTTTGAAGAAAATGCTATGTTAAAGGATCCATTCAATAAATTTTTCTTAGACTTACTTTTTATGTTCTTACTCAACGTGTGGAAACTGTTTAAAATCCTTTTGCAGTTAAGCGTACTGAAACGTGCACTGTTTTAAACATTAAAATTGTTGAAGCTTTTCTGGACAAGTGAGAGCTCTGTTGCTAATGTAAATAAGGGAAAACAGTGTTCAGTTGACATGTTTTCATGTTCAAAAATGAATCCCAAATTACTTTTTGAAGCATTTCTTTCAGAAGCTTGCTGGATTATTATGGGTCTCGAGCTGGACCAAAGACGGCGCGATTCTCCTATCAACAGAGGCTCCCTTGATAGGAACCACTGATCTCTATTACAAGGAATTTATAATGAAGACCAATGGTAGGAACCTTATTTTCGCTGGTTCACGAACAGCATAGTCTTGCCTCAAGACTGGTTTGGGTGTTTTGGCAGGGACATCGTGCATATCAAATAGTAGTACCAATAGAGGGAGCTGCATTCACAAGAAACGAACTGCAGAACCAGGCTGGCAGGATTATTGCGCCCTCTACTGGTACTGCTTTTCGGCTATTTTCGCCAGCGCATATTACCTGCACGGTACACCGGCCAAAACAGTAAAACCGGTCTTGGGGCAAGACTACCAATGGCCATCCATTGCGTTCACGTCGCTACCAACAAAATGAACACTTCTAACTAGCATGGCTCTTCTCTAAACTGATAGAAAAATCTAACAAAACTCCTACAGGTTTTTATGCACTAGTCAATTCAACATTGAGGTATTGTGAATGACAACATGGTTTAGCTAATGAATACACATACTGTCCACATAAAAACCAGAAAATGCTTATTGTTTGGGGTGGCATTACAGTTTTGCTCATGAGTATGCAAATTTGCAGAGGGATGAATTGCAAAAAGTTCCAAAAAACTTACCAAAAAATCAAAACGAAAATTGAAAATAAGTTAAAAGAAGCCTAAAGGTGCAATTTCAATGTTTGTAGTAAAATAATTGTATTAGATGATCCTTATAGAGTTCAGTTCATCCTTTTTGTGTTTTGTTTTTCAAAATGGAATCGAAGTTATAATGAGCCCCAAGGTGGACTGAGAGATTGCACTATATTCTTAGCAACAGAGGCCACTTTGGTGCGCAAACGACTGGGATTAATGCACGCCTTACAAAATGAGCACTCCCGACCAACATGGATCTTATCAACCAATGCTTCTGCTCAAGGCGGATAAGGCGTCAAGAGGTTGCTTTTGAAGCTCACAGCAGGAAGATTGCGCTTTAGAAGAAAGTTCACTCGAATTGTTTTGATCTCTGAGCCCTTACACTGCGGCATTGTAAAGCTGTCTGGTGTGATAGTGAGTTCCTTGATGCCTTACGGTATGCGTTACACTTAAAGCACCATCAGTGCAGCCGGACTGACAGAAGTGCATCATAAGCGAATGTATAGAGTCTTATTGCAACAGCATGGAACGTGCACCTGTATTACACTCAATTACTGAGACCTTATTTAAATTTTACGAACTGTGAAGAAAAATGTTCTCATGCCTGTCTGACAATCAATAAAACTGACATTGATTTTTTGGTGGTTCTCCCCTAAAAGGTTTTCCTGAAGTTAAATGACTCCTTAATGCAATTTGAGTCTTGGAAATGTTTACAGCCATCTAAAGACTCGTTCCGTGGCGCGTAACTCTATCCTTGGGTTTTTTGTTGAGCTGAGGTTGTTTACCATGTAGCAGTTTGTCCAAGAGGAAAGTCATCTGATATCAGCTTTAGACCAGACGCGAATAGTGTGACACAGTCAGTATAAAAGGAACACACCGTACCCATTCAACATTTCTCTTCACCTCTCTCCGGTGAAGTTGATGACATGATTCATGTCGTTCTCATGAGTCTGCAGGGGGCTTTTTGCAGAAAGGACAACTACTCGTTGCTGTTCCATGTATGAGTGCCAACGAGTGCTCGTGCATATTGAATACGTGCGCTTTTCCCATTGATTAGGGCCGCGCCAGTTTGTTATAGCATCCATCGGTCGTTGGCTCCAACGACAAGTAGAGGTGTGCCGAGCAGATTGATTTACTGATCACTTCATTCACCTTAAACAGCAACATGACCATAAATCTTGGCTGATAGCCCATTGGCGAAGACTGATTGCTGGTAGGCACCGTGATACCAGGGACCCGACAACCACTGAGCGTACGTTTGGTAAGTCAAATAGTGCATACTTCTAGCGAGTGAAGCAGCACCTTGCCTGCTACTTATTCATTATTTTTAAGGTCTCCTCACAACGCCAATGCACGGGTGGTATTCTACACTGAATTGGATCTGATATTGTCATTCCCTTACGCCATTTTTAAACTGTCTGTGAACGATTCTCCACCATTCTGGGGATGCTTAATACAGTTATAGCCAAATATCTTATTAATGCCATCCCAGCTATCCAAAGAGTCACCATTGTTGAGTTCGAAGAGCCTGACCTGGGTCTCGGCGGGAGGTAAGCTTAACCGTCAAAGCAAACCGTTTTAGCTCACCTGCAGCGCAATTTGCAATTCATTTTTGGGAGGGGGGCAAACAGTCTTCCTTGCTAAAGAAAATGGTCGTTTAAATGTCCCTGCGCGGCGCCAAACGGTTCCGTGTTCAGGCGCAATGTCATAATTCGCGTTTTTAAGCTTAAAAAATGGATAGACATTCCACGAGGAACCATGTTGAATCGTGATCCCCGAATCCATTTTATAAATTGTAAAGTGTTGCTTTGGATGGTACAATACTATTTTATGATGGCATGCTTTACTTTAGTGCAGGCCTCCCCTTGCCTTAACTATACTTCAAAACTTGGCTTAAAACACTAACACTAAAGTGCGTTAAATCACAAAGTTGAAATTATTCATCAGAGTATCTTCTTCATAAATTTCGTTTCATGGCCTTTTTGCTCTCGGGTCCATAAAATGTAGAGTTAACCTCGCTTTCAATTTCATTATGGCCGATCCATGATACACTGGCTATTCCGCACGACTTCATTCCTTTACTATTGCTTGCTTTTACTCCTACAAATACTTGCACTTGCCCTTTACTCGACAAAAATAATGTGCCTATCGCGTTGGCTTTCAGTCTTAAAAGAGACATTTTTCTTTGACTCGGGGAGTTAATTGAAATGCACACCACAGCCGGTCTCTGTTTGTTACTGTCTTTTTTCCTGAAGAAAATGTGAGAAGCTTAAGAGGGCAACCACACTGATCAATGATGTGTACTCCAATCGGACAACTTTTTTTGCAGCAGGCCACTTGCAATTTTTTTCTTCGAGTTACTATCTCGCCATGGCAGAATACTATCTCGCCGCGGCGACTTAGTATCTCCGCCACGGCGACTTAGTATCTCGCCGCGACGAGTTATACGATCTTCTCCCGCGTGAAATCCTACCCTGACAGATATTTCAGTAGTTTCATAAATCCTATTTAGCATGTCGTGGTACTCGGATGTATAATCAGGGTGCAACGCAGTGAAATTAAGATTCAGTTTGCTTGAAACAAAGCTTGATCCAACCAAGCTTGATTTCCAACACAAAAGAAATCTCTTTTAGGGATATGAATTTCCATATTCGGAAGTGGTGTAGACTACTTTGACTCCCTGATAGACTGCCTGTTCAAAGGATTACGGTGCTTTTTCATTTATACTTAATCAAATTATTCTAATTTTGCATAAGCGCCACGAGGATACCCTGAAAAGAACCGGGCAAAAGAAAACAGCCAAAGAAATGACAATTAAAGTGAAATAGAACACAAGAATTTGTTCGAGAAAAAAAAAGAAATCCTCCCGCAGTTAAATATTATTGTTCTGCATATTTTTAGCCAATGTGTGTTGCGATTTCAGACCAATCCTCGATGTTGATATTGTAACATTAAAATTTTCTATGATGGAAACTAACCATGGACGTAAATCCCGGGGATGGGGGGGGGCCAGGGTATATATCCCCCACTTTTGAATCATCCCCCACCTTCACTTTTGTGGAGAATTTTCGGTATTTCCCAACGACTAAAGTAATCGGTTTGAACCTCTCTGGCAGCGATTTTGACGGCTGAATACAACATACGCGTGTGTTATGTTAATGAAGGCGATTTTTGTGTCCGTGAAAGTGCAACGCGTGAACGCATCGCCTACGCAACGCAGCAAAAAATGTGCATATGGAAAGGGGCTTGGAAAATGTAGGAAGGAATACAATCTATTCATCATCTGAACGTGGAAATTCACACTACATAATAAGATTTCTTTTGTTGTATTTTGTGTTGGAAAACAAGCTTTGTTGAAATGTAATACCCCTTTTGTTCCAATTAGCAATCT